AAAAAATAATTTAATTTTTTCTAACTCTTAAATTTATATTCATTTTTTGTAAGAAAAATTAGATATTGTCATTTTAAAAAAGTAAGCATTTCTTAAAAATAATATATTTAAACCAAAATGTTAAATATTTTTCACTCATCATCTTAAATTCCAGTTTCTTAAATTAAAAAAAAAAAACAAACAAACAGATTTATTTAGAAATATTTTAATTGGAAAACATAACTACGTTAACAGCAGTTGTGTTTTTCAATAAAAATATCCATCATTATTATTCAAAAGTTCTCATATGCATTAATAAAAATTAATTTTATTATTATAAAATATAAATACTGTATTTAAAATAATTTTTATAGACTATAAATAACTTAAACAAAAAGAATATTCTAAAAAAGTAACATTTTAAGTATCATATCAGCATTGTTTTTCTAAAATTTTTCTAGCTATTATCATTAATGATATTGTGGGATTGTAGTTGGTGAAACCTCGTCCACTTGTTGAGGATGGCGATGTATTACTGTTTAAATTAAGAAAGACTACAAGATTGTGGGGTCTTGATCTAAGTCACGGGCCTGACACCAGTTAGAATGATTTTATATCACATTCTAACTTGTGATTAAACTATCTTTGTATGTCCAAGTAGGAAGGCTAAAGCGAGTGGTGGAGGGATAGTGTTGATTTGGGAGATGGAAGGAAGACAAATCCTTCTGTATATTCTGTATCATAAAGCAATTTATTAGATGCTGCTTAGTACAGCACATGACTAAACATTAACAAACTAAACAGATGATAGATGATGACTTTAAATATTTCCAAATACTATACAAGTGACAATGCTAGATTTGCTAGCTACCATGGGGGGAGAGCTTACAAGGTTTATATGTACCAAGAAGTCCCTTGTTCTTGGAAGAGATGAGAACTTTTACTTCTACTTTTGTCTGGCAGTATTCCTCATGGCTAAACTCTGGATGTAAGATGATACAAACATTAGCAGCCCCAATTGGATGTACTACCCTCTTTTTAAACTAAATAGATCAGCCAATTGTGTGGGTCCCTAATGCGGTCATATTCTAACCAGGGCAGGAACTTCAACATCCTTTGGCTCAGAGGAAATGGAAAGATGTGGGGCTGATAAAATTTTGCCTTTTCCGCCTTCCCGTAATTTAACAAAATAATTTAACTTTTCTATTAATATTTAAGTTTCTTATTTATCCCTGATTCCAGGTTCTCACAATATATTTTTTAAATCTGTACACATCTTGATTTTTAAAACATGACTGAGAAAACTTCATTGAGATGAAACAGCTTATCAAAATTATGAATGCCATGACTTTATCATCATTATGTCTGTACTGGCTATAATATATAATTTCTTACATGAATCTTTATTAACACACATAAATAATAAAATAATAATAGAGCACAGTAAAATAATTAATATTTGTCTAGCCTTCAATAATTTTTGTAGAAAATGATCCCACTCAAATTTTTTATTCATGTTATGCAAATATCCCTAAAAAATTATTTAAAAATTACTGTAATTTCATGTGGATAATCCACTGCAGCTTGTCACTTTTACCAGTATATATCCATAAAAAATTGCTAAAATGAAATAAAACATTCACATAACCTGCACCAGCATACATATCTAAAGAGTAGTTGCTGAAAGAGTGAAACTTACAGATATAGTTTAGAAGGCACCATCTCTAATGTTAGAATGTTAGTTTTTTCCCCCTTGTCACTTTCATTAGCAATTCATTATAGATGTAATTACAAAATAAGTAAAATGGAAAAATGAAATAGAGACTGAACTTAAGTGTAAAAATTCAAAGTGGCTAAAAAAAACAACAAAATTTTTAATTTATTATTTCATTTCTGCTTTATTTATCAAATATATAACAAAAATAATCATAAATGTTAAAATAAGAATGTTTTCTAAAGATTTTCTTGTGATGTTAGATAAAAAAAAAAGGATGTGGCTATTTATACATACACTATGCATACTCAATTGGCTATTTATACATACTGACTGTATGTTCCTATATTCCGACCAGATACTGACTGTATGCACTGTTATTACAATTAATATTTTCATAATAACTACACAATTATAAATAATTATAGTTTTATTTATTAAAGTCAGTTACAATGTTGTTCAATAAAGTAATCAATAAACTATGAAGTATCATTAAATCAGTGAAATATAGGTAATGAAATTTAAAGTAGATTGGTAGGTATACCAATAAAGTAAATATATTATTTTTTTTATTCTGTATTTTAATTTTTTTTTGTAAAAAGTGGTCTGCATAATCTTTCTCTTCATACATCCTTTGGATTTAATTTTAGTTTTGAATTTTATTTTTAATTCTCATTTCTTGATAATCAGTATCATAATTAGGATATCAATAATCAAAATTTAGGATATCAATAATCAATAATTAGGATATCAATAATCAAAATAATCAAAATTATAAATAACATTAAATTTTAAGTTTTTATTTGATTGATTTGAACAGGGCTTATTATTAGACCGAATTTGTTCTTCAGGTTCTTCTGGTTCAATTGTACTAAGGCCACTACTCTCATGTTCAAAAAGAGAAATTCCATTTCTTGCATTGCTTTCTATTACTTTTAATTCCTCTACATATTTATTGAAGGTTTGAATTCCATAACTAGACAAAATATCTGCAAAATTTTTAGTTATCGCCAGTGCCATATTAAATTTTTCCCTAGCTGATAATATTTTGTTGGGACAATCAAAGTCATCAGTAAAAGTTTCATCTTCAATATAATCATCGATGTCTACATTTACATCATCTGTATCCATACTTAGTGCATTTTCAATTGAAATAATATATCTTGCATGTAAGCAAGTTTTTGAAAATATGTCCGAATTATTATATTTTCTTATCATAAGAATATGACGACATGGTGCACTAAAAAAATTCCAAAATGAACAATAAAATGTTTCCACCGACATATTATAAAATTTTGATATTTTGCTATCAAGATTTTCATCAATGCCATTATTTTTAATTCTCATTTCTTGATAATCAGTATCATAATTAGGATATCAATAATCAAAATTTAGGATATCCTAAATTATAAATAACATTAAAACTGTCATCTTTACGTCATGGCTTTAAAAAGGTTAAATACCCAATTGAGTATACATACTGTATGTATAAATAGCCACTTTGTAAAAAAAAAGCAATTTGATAAGTATTGATGATTGTATGTTAAAACTAACAGATAACTTGCATTCACTTTTAAAATGACTTTTAAACACACAATAACAAATGAAAACACAGTAATTTTTAAGTATAATCAAAACCACTAACTTAATCAAATTATGACTAAAAATGAAGATAAAAAGTCAACTGAATGTAACTAATATTTATATCACATTAGATCTAATAAGAAAACTAAGAAAAGTTTTATTGTATTTAAAAAAAATGTACTATGCAATTTTAATAAATTACTTACCTCCTCCAATTTGATTGAGATAATTTTCCATATTGTCACAATCTAATTTTGTTCTACAGAATATGATGCCTTGGTCCATTTTATGCTCATTGATTGCTCTAACAGTATATTCACCTTTTAATAACTTAACAGCTTCAGAGAGTGTTTCTGTCAAGAAAATCATTATTATTAATTTGAGAAAGACAAAACTTAGAATTCATCACACCGAAAAAATTACAGATTGATTAATTAATGGATTTAAAAGTTGAAATTTAATCAATATCTGCCAATTTGACAAATAATTCTCATATAGTGTCTATAAGTATATGTGAGAGATCAGACTTGGAAAGGGGAAAAACCCACAATTTTATTTGGAAATTTTTCAAAAGAAAATTCATTTTTCGTTTTGAAAAGGAAATATATTTGAATCTCAGAGGAAAAAAACCTTTTCCATTTTATTATCGGAGGATGAGTGCAATTCTCTTCCCAGAGTCGTTTCCTTTCCCAGGGAACTACAACAAAAAATTCACTATTGGTGGAAACGACAACGTGACTTGGAAATAAAAAGGAGACAGTGAGAGGGGTCGAGAGTCTGCAAGAATATTCTGTGTGCGCCAGCCGAAAGGATTTATCATCATCGCTCATCGCCGTGCACTCCTCCTAAATATCCAGTGTTTCTCCAGGAACACCTACGAAGAACTAACAAATTTCAACTTTCGATAGACTTTAACTGCCATCCAAGGCAACAGAGACATCTCTGTTGCCAAGGCTCCCCAACGACTCCACAGCCATCTGGAAATCTGTACACAGTGCTTCAGGTATTTATAACGACCTGTGATGTTATATAAGCTCTCTCTTTCCAACTCGGTTCTCATGAAGAAGCTTTAGGGGGAAATACCCTTTTGTAGAACTAGTTTAATAAACAAATTTTGTTATTGTTAGAATTGTGTTGGGTGCATTTCCTCAAGCGGTCTCCATCCCGAGTCCAGCCACCCACACACGCGACTGCTTGCGCGTAAAGGCGAACTTATTGGTCTGTGTCTACCCAGAAGACACAGTGGTGTCAGTCCTGATAAATTTGTCATTGCAGTCTTTGCCAACGCAATGTCAACCCTTCGGTCCTGTGATGCCGAAGCATAGAGGAGACCTTAGGCATTGTCACATATATATATATATATATATACACACATACACACACCATGTCAGAATTATAATTTAGTATATATTTTTGAACTGTTGATTTTTATATGTTTATATATATCTAACCTGAGTTTTAATTAAAGCCAAATGATCTACAGGGTTATCATTATATTAAGGCTAATTTTAATAATTAAACACAGTAAGTTGATAAATTTCATTTGTTAATAAATTTAATAATTATAAATAGATTACAGTAATACCCTAAACTTATGCGATAGGTGGGACTGAGCGATAACAGCATAAGTCGGGGTTAATTTCCCAATTTGTGTAAAATCCAAGTCGGATGTATGTAAACTAATAAATGTTCTCGTTAATCTCATCTCATCTTTTGATTCGTTCATGGTTACAAGAAATCACCACATAGAGTCTCTCAAGTGTCCATAGATATAACAAACACAGAAATAAATAACACAAAATAAATTGCAGCTATGTGTCGATTCCGTGTGACACGTCCAAACATGTAAGCTGAACAATAGTGTGGGGGGAGTGAGTAATCAAGAGTTGCGTGGAGCTCAAACAAAAGACGAATCAACAAGATTTGGAAATCGTGTAATTCCGGGTTTGCGTAAGTCGGGGTAGCGTAAGTCAAGGTATTACTGTAATTTTAAAATTTAATTTAGAAAGTTCTGGAAGAAAAGAATTAGCTCAGAGGAGGACTCAAATCCGCAATTCCTGCTTACCATGTATATGCATTGCTAGTTATGCTACTCATATCTTCATACAATCTCAATCCTTAATTAAAATTAAAAATTAATTAATTTATAATTATTAAATTTATCAAGAGATGGCAGCCTCACCACCTACCTCTATTCAAATTATTGTTTAAAATTATTAAAGTTAGCCTTAATATATCCTGATAATCCAGTAAATTGTTTGTAATTCTGACTTCCATATAAACCAAACTCATATATTTCATTAAAATTAATTTCCAAAATTTGACTTAACAAGAACAGTTTCATTTCTAAGTTCTTTATTAAATAAATCATAATCACAGATAAAAAAACAATTTACAAGACATCACACTCATTGACAAACAATAAAATCACATACATTATACACACATCCATTCCAAACACTCACAATGTACAAAACACGTGCACTGAAAAAAATCAGCAAGTACTCGAAACTCGCCCAGAAAATAAGGCATCTGTGGAGGATGGATAGTGTGCTTATTGTACCTGTTGTCCTCTCCTGTACAGGTGTCATACTCCACACACACTACACAGAAGTCTGTGAACATTACAATTGAATAGAAACACATACATCACACTACAGAAAGCCACTATATTCAATACATGTCATATTATTAGGAAATTCCTGATACATACACTGACACACTTTTTAAATTTTTATCTTGTTTTGGTTGCTATGCTTTGACTCTGATCTGGCATGGTTCACAGCAACTGGTGTCAACAGATTATAACCCACTACGCATAATAATAACAACAGCCAGTTTAGAATAAGTATTCCAAAGGAATGTAATTCGTTGAAAGAAAAAATAGACATTATATGAAATGGACAATGTCCATTTATAGAATAAGTATTCCAAAGGAATGTAATTCATTGAAAGAAAAAACGTCTACTTAAATCCATCAGAATCGCAAAAAATAAAAGGTATGGAATGTTACAAGATCTCATTGCATTAGAAAATGAAATATATATTAACCACCCGGGAAGTCTCAATGAATTTAATGTGAAAGTGGTCAGGTTGACAGAAAAGGTACAAAAAAGTTTAAGGAAAAGATATATCAAGAAAATGACATGGATCTTGAGTAAGCAAGTAACAAAAAAAAAAAAAAATGAAAGTAAACCCATCGCCTTTTGTTTTATGGGACCAAGTCCACGTCCCAACTGAAATCAAAGAAATTCTACAAAAAGGTCCTAACTTTTTTTCGGAAGACAAAAACTTATGGCAAACTTCATTAGTGGAAATGGAGAGAGGATTGTTAGAATTTAACGAGTTAGAAAGGGATTTTTTTCCGATGGAAGACTGTTCTTAGGGATCGCACCTGCAGAAGAACAAAGAATAAAGAAATAAAACAGCTAAAACGTGCAAAACAGTGGTTGAATGACAATGAATTAGTCCTAACATGAGCGGACAAGAGTAAACATACGGTTATAATGGAAAGAAAAAGCTATTAAAAGAACAGAATGTGAGCGGGTAAATAAAAGCATTGTCACAAACGTAGACAGAAGAGTAAAAAAACTTGAACAAGCTCCATTAAGTTCTGCATTAACTTTTCTTAAATGATCTCATAACCTGAACCCAGCAATTCCAAGAATATTTGCCTTTGCAAAAATACATAAGGAAGGCAAAGAGGTTAGACCAGTGGTGGAGAAATGCAGAGGGTCCACGTACATTTTGGAAAAACGTTTACATAGATTCATTTCAGATCTATTATGTAACAGTGATCTTGTTGCACATAACCTGACCAATGTCATTAAGGAGTTACAAGAGTTAAGTTTAATAGATGAAGAAGTTGGGTCCGTTATGGATTTTGAAAGCCTGTATTCATCAGTAAGTATAGAATCCTGTTACGAAGCATTAATAGAATTTATACTCCACATAAAACCGGAAGTTGGTGCATTTGAGAATGATTTGAAGGAATTAGCCAAGTTGATATGTTACGAGTCCTTCTTCAGCTATGACAAGCAGATATACAGACAAAAGAAAGGCGTACCTATGGGAAGCCCAATGTCAGGGTTGTTATGCGAACTGGTTTTATGCAACTTAGAAAAGCAAGTTGTTAATAGCTTCAAAAAAGATATTGTACTTTACAAAAGATATGTGGATGATGTGTGCATTGTATGGAGAAATGGCGAAACAATACACAAGTTTATACAGGTTATTAACAACAACAACAATGATGGTTTGAAACTAAAACTAGAGCAGAAGAGTCACAAAAGAATACATTTTCTAGATATTGATATACAATTAAAAGGAGATTGCATAACAATGAGCATTTACATAAAACCTACGCACAATCCTCTCTACATACCAGCTAATTCGAATGACTCGCATAAATACAAAATGTCAGCATTTTGTGCACTCATTAGGAGAGCATTTACTTATTGCTCCAATGTATTGGACAGGATTAAAGAGATTGACAGAATTAAGGAAGTAGCTTCAAATTTGGGTTACCACAAAAGTACAATTGAAGGGCTAATAAAAAGTTATGAAAGAGGCAAGAGGTCAAGAACCGGAACAGATCAATTTAAGATCACCAAATTTACGTATAATAAAAACTTCAGGAACATCATGAAGCAAGTTTCAGACAGAAAACACTCCAAAATTGTTTACAAAAGCGGCCCTAATTTATACAGTATTCTTAGAAACGATAAGGACAAGCTTAAGAAAGAAGAAACAGTGGGCGTTTATAAAATTCCCTTTGAAAACCAACAGCTAGGAATTATGAAGGACTTTATTGGAGTCACTAGATGGAATTTGGCTATTAGGCTTAAAGAACACAAATATGACATTAGTAAAGGGCACAAGAGAAGGTATTTTCAACCTGAAAACTATTATTGAAAGATATAGGGAAAAACAGAAGAATATTTTTCTCTGTTTTATAGACTATACAAAGGCATTTGACAATGTGAAACATGATTACCTTATTAGATGTCTAGTAGAAAATGGTATGGATGGAAAGGATGTCAGATTACTTGCCAATTTATACTGGGGACAGAGGGCTACAATAAGGATTGGCAAAGAATGTTCGCAAAGCTTCCCAATTCAAAAAGGAGTTAGGCAAGGTTGTANCAGTAAATTGTTTGTAATTCTGACTTCCATATAAACCAAACTCATATATTTCATTAAAATTAATTTCTAAAATTTGACTTAACAAGAACAGTTTGATTTCTAAGTTCTTTATTAAATAAGTCATAATCACAGATAAAAAAAACAATTTACAAGACATCACACTCATTAACAAACAATAAAATCACATACATTATACACACATCCATTC